CTTACAAAAATCCTTCCTTATTTTGTACACAATTTTGTGGAGAAGTCGAAAACGTCGGAAGATTTAATTGAACATCCCTTTCCTAGAGAGAATTATTGTATCCACTGCCCATGCCTATTGATCTGGGATTGGTTAAAAGTACATGGCCAATTTGTGAATCCAACTTGTTGCAAACAGATCTATCAGGGGGTGATTCTATCTAAGAGTTATAGCCTGAAAAAAAACTACTGGATTTAACTCCTACTCCGTATTTCCTGACACGGGGTCGAGATAAGTCATCCGCTATCAGGTTCTAATTTCCCCGAACATGACAAAATATTCTGGAGACTGTCGCAAAACAAGAGAGTTTCTCTGTACATAGGGTAAAGAGAAAAGCAATTGGTCCTGCCATGATTCTGGCGATAAGCTACTATACTACTGTTGGGTTGGCTGTATAGCTATCAGATAACACTGCCCTTGAATCACCAATCGAAAGAGTATCATTCACAGTAGCACTCCCCTCATTTCTATAAGATTTATGTGTTCCTGTTAACTGCGGAAGTGCCACAAACCGACACTGTCCTTTCCTCTAAGGAAAGAAACCAATTCCATCAGAGTCAAAGATTCGTATGTGTAAAACGTCATTGTAGGTTTTAGAAGATCTAGAGGCACCCTTTTCAAATGTTTCTCCCTCGGTTGCCACCACTGCAGATGAGCTGATTGTCTGGGCAAACCTGATAAAGATGCATCCCACAAAAACATTTTCTGTGAAATTGGATGCAAGAATTTCCTGAGATACCACTGAGCGAATATGACATTGACCCAGGGGAATAACGTCAATTAAACTAAAGTTATCCAGTTCCAAAAATAGGCGAGCTGGTACTACTGATATCTGACAAAACTGATTTTTTCGATTAAAAAGAGTAATTATATTCTCCTCTGGGGGAGGACTAAACTCTGTCTGTCTGATAATGTTCTCTTAGAAATATGAAATCTTGGCTGAGGACCAATTCGGACTTTTTCCATGAACGGAGTAAAACCAGTCTGAGCAATAAGTATACAAGTATCGCCAATCGAGTGTGATACCCAAGGTGAGTTAAGGAATTATTTTTCAAAAGTGAATAGTGTGAACCTCTTGTTTCAGCAAGAGATTTCTGTCTTAATATCTCTTCACTGACAGGTTGATAAGAACTGAACACAATGTTGATTGATTGTGGAACAGAAGTTCCAGACCCCTTCCCTTGCAGTATATTCACTGTTTTATGGTTTCTATACACGACAAAATCATCGGGGAACAGTTATTTCTTTTCACAAAATGCAGATTGTAAGCTTGATTTTACATCTTTCAGTTGCGTATAGTAGGCACAAAGCAGTTTCCTAAAATAGAAAACAGGAAGTCATGATTGAAGCCAACTCAAAAGGTACTTTTGAATATGGGTTTAGAGAAGTGGTAAAGTGGCAGACGACAATTACCCTCAAAAGCTATAATGATAATTCATTTGAATTTTAACTTTAAAAGTAGAAATAACGTGCACTAATTTTGCGATTTTTAGGGGATTGTCATAATATATATATAATTGACCCCTTTTTGTCATTTGGCTCTGATGTTTAAATAAACATCTTTCAAAATGTTATCATCAAACGTTGTTTAGGAGTTTTAAATGCTTCAACATTATATGTATGTAATGGAATATTCACAGATGGAATTGGAGTATTACTGGGCAGAAATAAAATTGTTATATAATTAAATTAGCTTTTCCTGTACCAATTTTTTTCATGTAAAAAACAAAAACAACTTTATAAATTTCATGCGCCCAAAGCGCTTTTCTGGATTTATCTTCACCAGGAACGCTCAAAGCCGAATATTTGAAAGCCAAGGATGTGCAAGAACCGAAACATTTGAAGGCCTTTATGACCAAAAAGGACTTAAAAATAATAGCAAATTCCATCTAAAGTCAATTTTGTCCGAGGGAGTTGAAACCTTAGTTTCTTAATAATTTCCGAATTTATAAACGGACAATTTATACTTTCACTTTTCAGCGGGGCTATACCACTGTGTCTAAACTACACCAGCAAAAAATGTTTGGACTCGATGGTATCTAATATCCGGCACGGTGACGGAACATCAATAGACAGAGAAAAGGTAGTTTTCTGTTTATTCATTTGTTATTTATATGATATCGAAGAATATATATACATATATAACTATTTTCTATTGTGAGATGTAATATTTTCTACAACCGTTCTAGATTAACGGAGAAATAAGTAAAAAATGCACGTCAAAAGGACGAATTGAGTGAACCTTGCCTCGAATTTGTTTAATTTCTCGATAAATTGTTCACATGGTACGGAAAGAAAGGTACGGAGTGAAAGATATTGACATGGAGATTGCAAAACTAGTCACTTTGAGCACCCCAATACTTGTATTTCTGTGTATGGAACGACAGAAATGGGTCATGTCAACATGGAAGGAGCCGGCTTTGTCAATGTGTACCACCCGGTTTTGTCCTAGATTTCACAAGGCAGAATCCGCTTTTGTCAAAGAAAAAAATGCATAATTGCATAACATAATTGAACTTCGGCGTTTAAAAGGAGTCTGGTGGCTGGTTGGAAAACGATTTCTTTCAGAGGACAACTTATTATTTATTTGAATCTGTAAACACTTGAATTCCTACTTTATTGGAACAAAAATAATTATAATTTTGCTTTGCATTTAAAAAAATACTTCAACTGCGAAACAGATAGAAATGAAGGTTATAACGCAAATTGAGGTTTAAGTTCTCTATACGTTTTTTATATGAAATATGTAAATGTAAGCGATTAAACTTGAAATTAGAGTTAACGGTCTTTAAAATTGAAACACGCACATTTGATATGTGATTTTCTTACACAACAGGATGGTTATCTTTATAAGTAATCCAATCTATCAAGGGGTGTAATCTTTCCTATGATTGTTTAAAATAAATCTTCTTAAGGCTTAGTGTTTATTATAAGACATGATAAGAAGACCAATGTATATGCATGCAGAATCGCCATAGAAAATGAATGTTATGGGAAGAAAAGGATAATACTAAGTATAAATTTGTATAATAGTCTCAAGCCATCAAGAAAATGCCATAATGATTATTTTATTAATAGTTCTATAAATAAACGGTTCTGTTATTTCTCCATTGTGTTATGATTATCGTACATTGACTTTGGTCAATATATTATTGACACTATATAGGGACGGATTTAGTTTTTTCTCAAAGTGGGCGTAATTCAAACAACTTACATACCGCCGAGCGTAGCGATGCAAACATTTTTTTGAACGTTTTTAAGCTAAAAAAATTTCGTAAAAAACATGATTTAATTTTTTGGGGACCATCAAAGGTGGGGTTGGTGGGGGAGTGCGACCTATACGCCGCCTGGATTCGTCACTAATGTTTTATAACTAAATCGTATACCAACTTAGAATTTTATCAGAAATAAGAAAACAGGGACAACCGCGAAATTGGATTATGTGAGCAGGATTATCATGTTTATTCTAAAAATTCATATTGATATTTTGATAATCGTCGAAATGCGCATCTTCGATAGCCAAGGGTTACGATCTACTTCCCTCCTAGGAGGGAAGTAGATCGTAACCCCTAGGAGGAAAGTGGATCGTAACCCTTGGCTAGCGAAGATGCGAAATGCGAGACCAAGGGATGCAAATTCGTGGCGGCTTGAACTATTTGTATGAAGCTTCATATGTCAGAAGTTAGAAGGCCTGACTGCAACATACCTCGAACACAGATCTTTTATCTTACGATGTTTCTATCTGTCATACGTCCATTGCCCTTGGCCTCATTTTCATAGTTCAGCGATTTCCTAACAAAATGAATAGCTGTGAATGTCACACTGATAATGGTTGATATCCATGATCAAGGTTAACATTTCGTGATCAATATAAAAAAGAAGATGTGGTATGATTGCCGAGGAGACAACTCTCCACAACAGACCAAATGACACAGAAATTAACAGCTACAGGTCACCATACGTCCCTCAACAATGAGCAAAGCCCATACCGCATAGTCAGCTATAAAAGGCCCCGAAATTACAAATGTTAAACAATTCAAACGAGAAAACTAACGGCCTAATTAATGTACAAAAAAATGAACGAAAAACAAATAATTATGTAAATAAGTCCGTATCTCTAATACCATAAGTAATAGGTCAACTATATTTGCTCATATGGCCACATGACTATTTATGTGACCTTGAACTTATTTTCTTGATTAATTGGTAAATGTTAAGTTTTTTTTTTTTTTTTTATGGTTTTAATGATTGTAATGCGTTCATGTCCGTCTGGCGGTTTTCATTAGACCTTGACTTTTTTATGGTTCCATGAACAACGCTTAGTTTATGTGATACTTTTATTAAATTATTTATCTTACAGATCTTCAAAATAGATTCAATTACGATCATTCTAGCAGTCGCTACATGCGTACACTCTTGTATAAATAATATGTAGTATTTATTTTTGTTGAAAAAATGCAAGTGAAATTGTTTTACAATAACATATATGTTGAATTTCTTTGGATGGACAACGTTAAGATCCGTGTTAACGTTGCTTTTCATAAATTTGTGGTTTCAAAACAAAACAAAACCGGGTCATATACATAGACAAAACCGGGTGATTGTGTAGTAAACAACATTGACAAAACCGGCTCCTTCCATTTTGACATGACCCATTTCTTTCGTTCCATACACAGAAATACAAGTATTGAGGTGCTTAAAGTGGCTAGTTTTGCAATCTCCATGTCAATATCTTTCTCTCCGTACCTTTCTTTCCGTACATGTGAACAATTTAACGAGATACTAAACAAATTCGAGGCAAGGACATTAGGTTCACTGAATTCGTCATTTTGACATGCATTTTTACTTATTTCTCCGTTAATCTAGAACGGTTGTAGAAAATATTACATCTCACAATAGGAAATAGTTATATATGTATATATATTCTTCGATATCATAAAAATAACAAATAAATAAATAGAAAACTACCTTCTCTATTGATGTTCCGTCACCGTGCCGGATATTATAGATACGATCGAGTCCAAACATTTTTTGCCGGTGTAGTTTAGACACAGTGTATACTGTATGTGAAATCACCTTTTCCGTTCGTCTAACAAATATTTTCGTCACACTTTTTTCAGCAACAACAAAATCAGAATGACTTCTTATTTGGTCAGCAGCTGGACAGTGAAGAGTTATAACATTTGAGCATTTTTCAGATCTGTCAGATACTTACTTCCTGTTTACCGATATTTTGTATGTATATACATATATGAACTCAAAATATTTCGTCACCCACTTTTCTCAAAAACTACTCAACAGAATAACTTCATATTTGGTAAGCAGCTCAATAATGATGTGCTGTAACGTGTGTTCGCTTTTACGATCTGTAAGACACCTACTACCTGATTTTTATAATTTGAATTATAGTATGTCAACATGTGCATTCTTGTTTTAAGTGCCCTTTATAATCCAATGATCCAAGATCAAAGGCAAATTACACAAAATAGGAACCAACTCTGCAAGACATTTTTTATTTTATAAATATTTGAAATTATCACTTGTACTTTATTAGTACTCCGTGAACACCAAATCTCCTTCCCCACCCCAAAAAAAAACCAAAAAAAAAAAATTATATCACAAAATTCCAATTTTTTATTTTATTTGCAGTTATTGTTGGATGGATGAGCTCTCGGCACATTTAATTGAGGAAGACCGTAAAGCTTCACTACCTGCACATCCCGAAGTTAAAAGGATACAATTAGGAATTGAAAATGTATTGAAAACAATCTTAGGCTGTATTGCAGAAAAAGACAAACGACTTAAAGGCAAACTGTTACCAGTAGGTAGCTATTACACTGACTTAAAAATTGGTTTTCCAGATGAATTTGATTTTCTCTATGAGCTTGAAACACTTATTGAAGGAAACAACTTTGAGATAAGACCGTCTGGATTTAGAGATAACAGAAATTTATGGAGAACACCAAATGGAAATCCATTGAAGAAAAAAGTTCAAATCAAGACACCAGAACATTACTCTAAAAAGAATGAGAAATTGAGTTTTAACTGGTTACATAAAATAAATGGAGGCTATGTCCTAGATCCTGTGGGTGTAAAAAACACCCTTTATGATGCAGTTCTTCATGAAGCACAGAACCTTGAAAAATCAATGCTTCCTATGTATTTGTCTCTTGACGGGAAAGGGGAAGCTACATTCTTCTACGGTCCAGCTACTACTTTATTCTTTATTTGGAATGGAAGATTTTATAAAAATCTTAAAATTAGTGTGGATTTAACAGTATGCATTAAAGCAGAGAAATGGAACAAATATTTTGACTTTTTAAGACCAAATTTCATGGATCAATCTAGCTGCTTAAGAAAATACTTGAAGAAGAAATTTGTTGCTATGGTTACCACCTGGTACCTCATATTTCTGATCGTGGCCATATTCAATGGAAATTGTCTACTTCTTATTTGGAAACCAGAGTTTTATCAAGATTTCCAAAGAAATCACCCTTGAAACAAGTAATAAGAATCGTTAAATTTAACAAGGAAAAATTTCTTAAAGTCCGTCCAGATCTTAGGATAATGAATGATAAAATGTTAGCTGATGTTCTTCAACTGACAAACTTTTACAGTGGAAATGATTATGACGAAAATTTTAAAAACTTAGTTTCATCATACATAATAAAGAATGTAGTTTTCCACCTGTGCGGATTTGCTACATGCAATGAATGGACAAAAGCTTCCCTTTCAACACTATATCTTTTAACACTCACTACACTCTATGGAGGTTTTATGAGAAATTCAATCAGAAACTTTTTTATTTCGCACAACAATTTAACCATTCCAAATCATGGAGATGTTTTACCTGGGTTTCAGAAATTATTTGGAGAAATCAACATTGAAAGTTATCAAAAAATGTTTTGTCAACTGGACATAAAAGATTTTGATATGAATATATTTGAAAGTCAACCATTTGATCCATCGGGACTGAAAACATTCTTTAAAATTACTAAAGATGACATAGATACAAATTATCATATTCTGTGGGAGTCAAACTTGCTAAAGTAACAAAAATTCATATCTTTTCGGGCTGGTTGATAACTTTTAAAAAAACGTGCAGTTCACAATTATTTTGAACAGTAAAATTCTTACTGCATTGAAAAATATGTTTCACAGTAGCAAATGGAGGTAAATACAAGCATAACATAATTCTACTAAGATGTATTGTGAACATGTTGCATTTTGCCTATGATAGTCAAAAAGGGATTAATTCACAGTAAAATCATTTTAGTTTTTTTGAATGAATATTAATCATGAAAAAGCTGAATCAGGTGCAAAAATAAGAGGCTTTGTTGATTAAAAGAAATTATTATTCTTCTTTTGTCTACCGAAAAGTGTGGCAACATAGCTGTGTCAATTATATGCAAAATAGTGAAAAAAAAGTATTAATAAAAATACTGCAAGGTAAACTAAATAATTTTACAATACCAAGTGCTTGATAAAGATTTCTGTTATGAGGGGAAAAAAAGAAAGTAATAAGAAATACAATATATATTGATAGTTTATTTATTATGTTTGACCAAGAACTGTTATCTTTTTCTTTAATGTCTGTTTTGGAAAAAGATAATCTTTCATTATGTCATCCAGTTCATTTAAGGACAATAAAATGTGATCTTTGACCTTTTCCTCTTTCTCAGTTTTCAAAGTCAACTTCAGGAGATGATACAGATCACGTGATACAGATTCCAATACCTGAAAAGAAAAAATAACAATTATGATTTGTTATCATTATCAACTGATATTATTCATTCAACACATTTCATTTCTTAATCCACAAAGTCCAATAATAGAAAAACAAAGGATATGGGGTATCCATCCATGACAAAATCAGTACATGCACTGCAAAAAAGACACACAATAAGCAAAGGAACAGCGCTTTTATTGCTGATCTTCATCTAAAAGTCACAGTGAGGCCTTCAACATGGAGCAACAAAAAAAAAAAAACCTCTCACCTCATTGCAGTCATTAAAGACAAAAGACAAATATTAAAAATATGGAATGTTTTATCAATTTATATCAGAGCAACTTATGTGTGTGATATCAACAATACATTTTTATTATTAAATGTTCTATAACTCTGTTACAAAAAGAAACATAATAATTACGAAGCCTTATGACAGCTTTTCTTCATAAATTTTGACACTGTATAACAAATTTGTAAGGACTGGTAAAATGAAACTGCTACAGGCATGATTCACTTATTAATCCAGTTAAAATTGTTCTTTCTTTCAATAGTCTGATGATTTAAAACATTTACTGGCCTTTCACTAGTACTTATACTGCTTATTTCAATTAAATATGAAATCTGACCATTAAAGCATTGTTTCTGATATGTTTTGTTGTCTTGAGAGGTAGTATTCAACCAACAGCTTCCTGTAGTAGGGAGCACATTTTGGCTCTATCAAAATTATTTGCTCACGTTTATTTCCTTGTTTGAGATAGTGGGCATCCTACAAAACGGCTTCAAAGAATTCAATCAAACTTGCATGGTTGGTCTATACGACATGAAATTGTGCACCAGCTGTTTCAGTTTTATATCTGAGCGATTTTTTAGGTTTCCCATACCAAGACATATCTTTTCCTTTTCCACTTATATTATTTGAGTACAAAATTGACACAAGTCTTCTTTTGAAGACTCACACATTATTATTTCAGATGTTATGCTGGGGGTTTCATATTATTTTGTTTCACAACACTTTTGTTTTGATAAGATTTTTTCCCCTTACTTTTGATAAAATCCGACTTATTTAATTATAATATACCTGCAACATATCTTCACCCAGACCTTGCAATAGCATGGTAGTTAGCATTGCTGCAGCTTTTCTTACTTCAGGACTATCATCTGTCTTTAGTAAACTCTGGCAGCATTCAAATATCTAAATATAGAAATATACCATTAATTACACGGTAACCCGATTCTGTAATGCTGTATAATTCATAACTTCAGGATTATCACATCTATCTTCAGTAAAACAACTAGAGGCTCTCAAGAGCCTGTGTCGCTCACCTGACTCTACTTTGGTTTTAGAAATCATGTAAAGATAGATAAAAATCATAACAGATACCCAAATAATGATTGAGGCCAAATTTAAAATTTTTTGATTAATTTTGGTCCCGTTATTTAATAAAATATCCTGGTGGCCATCTTGAACAGTAAATCGGCAACAAAGTAGCAACACTTGGTCAGCACTTCATGAGGAACATTCATGCCATGTTTGGTTTCATTCCATTCAGTGGTACTCTAAAAGAAGACATTTGTATGTATTTCCCATAGGGTCCTATGTTAAACTAAGCCCCCCCCCCCCCCCCCCCTAGCGGCCATCTTGGATGATGGACCGACTGCAAAGTAACAACACTAGGTCACCACCTCATAAGGAACATTAATGCCATGTTTGGTTTCATTCCATTCAGTGGTTCTCTAAAAGAAGACAATTGTATGTATTTCCCATAGGGTCCTATGTTAAACTAAGTCCCCCGCTGTCTGCCATCTTGGATGATGGATCGGCTGCAAAGTAACAACACTTGGTCAACATCTCATAAGGAACATTCATGCCATGTTTGGTTCCATTCCATTTATTGGTTCTCTAAAAGAAGACATTTTTATGTATTTCCCAAAGGGTCCTATGTAAAACTAAGTCCCCCGCTGGCGGCCATCTTGGATGATGGATCGGCTACAAAGTAACAACACTTGGTCAGCATCTCATAAGGAAGATTCATGCCATGTTTGGTTTCATTCCATTCAGTGGTTCACTAAAAGAAGACATTTGTATGTATTTCCCATAGGTCCTTTGTTAAACTAGGTCCCCTGCTGTCGGCCATCTTGGATGATGGACCGACTGCAAAGTAACAACATTTGGTCAGCACCTCATAAGGAACATTAATGCCATGTTTGGTTTCATTCCATTCAGTGGTTCTCTAAAAGAAGACATTTGTATGTATTTCCCATAGGGTCCTATGTTAAACTAAGTCCTCCGCTGGCAGCCATCTTGGATGATGGATCAGCTACAAAGTAACAACACTTGGTCAGCACCTCATAAGGAACATTCATGCCATGATTGGTTTCATTCCATTCAGTGGTTCTCTAAAAGAAGACATTTGTATGTATTTCCCATAGGGTCCTATGTTAAACTAAGTCCCCCGCTGGCGGCCATCTTGGATGATGGACCGACTGCAAAGTAACAACACTTGGTCAGCATCTCATAAGGAACATTCATGCCATGTTTAGTTCCATTCCATTCAGTTGTTCTCTAAAGGAAGACATTTTTATGTATTTCCCATAGGGTCCTATGTTAAACTAAGTCCCCCGCTGGCGGCCATCTTGGATGATGGATCGGCTACAAAGTAACAACACTTGGTCAGCACCTCATAAGGAACATTCATGCCATGTTTGGTTTCATTCCATTCAGTGGTTCACTAAAAGAAGACATTTGTATGTATTTCCCATAGGTCCTTTGTTAAACTAAGTCCCCTGCTGTCGACCATCTTGGATGATGGACCGACTGCAAAGTAACAACACTAGGTCACCACCTCATAAGGAACATTAATGCCATGTTTGGTTTCATTCCATTCAGTGGTTCTCTAAAAGAAGACATTTGTATGTATTTCCCATAGGGTCCTATGCTAAACTAAGTCCTCCGCTGGCAGCCATCTTGGATGATGGATCGGCTACAAAGTAACAACACTTGGTCAGCACCTCATAAGGAACATTCATGCCATGATTGGTTTCATTCCATTCAGTGGTTCTCTAAAAGAAGACATTTGTATGTATTTCCCATAGGGTCCTATGTTAAACTAAGTCCCCCACTGGCGGCCATCTTGGATGATGGATCGGCTACAAAGTAACAACACTTGGTCAGCACCTCATAAGGAACATTCATGCCATGTTTGGTTTCATTCCATTCAGTGGTTCTCTAGAAGAAGTTCAAAATGTAAAAAGTTAACGCCGACGACGGACGACGACGGACGCCAAGTGATGAGAAAAGCTCACTTGGCCCTTCGGGCCAGGTGAGCTAAAAATGAAAGTGCAATCTGACAGAATTTAGAACTTTTCAAGACTCAAGGTGATTTTCTGCTTGACACACATTTCTGTTTTTGAAGACTGTATTGTATGTCTTTTAAATTGTTCTATTTTTTTGTATCCTTGGACTTCTGTTTCAGTGATATATACCCAAAACTCCTTTCTCTCATATGTCAATTTATATTGCAGTAGTTTAATGAGTCAAAAAAACTAGTGTTGTTCAATAGAAATATCTACTAATGACTTGATATTAAAGTACAAGTTATGCACATGATTTATTCTATATGAAAACTTTTAAATGTTTTATCTTTTTTTCCACATTACCTTTCTCCCCTTTCATATGCATTTTCAATTTTTTTTTCATGAATTTGCCAAACAAGAGTGCACACGCTGAAATGTCTCGCCTTCTTTACTAATCATTGATATTATGTTGATAGTCCTAAATATAAATCTTTACTACAACTATCACATAAACTTAGCATGATCCAAGAAAATGAGGTAAAGGTCATATAAACCAAACAAGAAATATCTGTATACCTTACAATCATTCAATACACTAAATATAGTTGACCTATTGCTTATAGTTTCAAGAAACAGACTTAACCAAGAAAACTAAACATTGACCAATGAACCATGCCAGGCAGACATGTACAGCTTACAATTCTTCCATACAACAAATATAGTTGACCTATTGCTTATAGTTGAAGAAAAACAGACCAAAACACAAAAACTTAACACTGAGCAATGAACCGTGAAAATGAGGTCAAGGTCAAATAAAACCTGTGAGACTGACATATACATTATAAAATATTTCCATACACCAAATATAGTTGACCTATTGCATATAGTATTAGAAAAAAAGACCATAACTCAAAAACTTAACTTTGACCACTGAACCATGAAAATGAGGTCAAGATCAGATGAAACCTGCCTGCTAGACATGTACACCTTACAATCATTCCATACACCAAATATAGTAGACCTATTGCACACAGTATAAGAAAAACAGACCAAAACACAAAAACTTAACTATAACCACTGAACTATGAAAATGAGGTCAAGGTCAGATGACACCTGTCAGTTGGACATGTACACCTTACAGTCCTTCCATACACCAAATATACTAGACCTATTGCTTATAGTATATTGAGATATGGACTTGACCACCAAAATTTAACCTTGTTCACTGATCCATGAAATGAGGTCGAGGTGAAGTGAAAACTGTGTGACGGGCTTGAGGACCTTGCAAGGTACACACATACCAAATATAGTTATCCTATTACTTATAATAAGAGAGAAT